AGTCCCCCAACAGCCTCCATCTAGGGAGATTGGACCATGCTGTCTTTTTTTTTTTGATGTGCCTTTGATTTTATTCTTTTGTGAGTATACTACTTTTTATTCCATCTCATTTTTAGAAGGTAATGCACTAGGCCCGTGCGCCCTCTGTTTGTTTGTTTGTTTGTTTGTTTCTTTGCACACAGCTCCTTCGGATTTCCCTGGTCCATTGAGGGCAGGAAGGCTTGCATTCCCAAAAAGTACTCCATGTGGGGTTACTGACATTGTGGAGGTCATCGTCCAGCGCAGGAGTTTCAGCATTCATTTGCTCATGCTTTTTTATCAGAGCTGTGTACCTACCTGTCACTTCACAAGGGAGATATATCTGCTTGGGGTGTCTCTGTGCTTTTTGCAGTCCTTATAAGGGGTGGGGACCAAAAAGTGGTACCTTTCCTGTGGCCCCAATCTGCCCAATAATCTGTCTCAGTAAATTATCTGCCCTTCTCTCTTCAGACAGATGCAGACCCTGAAGTGTGCAAGAAGATGTGCAAGAGGAACCAGGCCGAGGCAGTTCTGTCTCTGGTGGCCTATTATCAGATGGTGAGTAGCGCTTCCCCTGATTCCTGGCACAGAGTAAAGCAAGTTTACCGGAGTGTAGAGCGCAGAGGAAAGCATCTGGCTGCTGAGAACAAAGCAATATGTCCTGCCAGCATTTCGGGTTTCTTTGCTCTTGTTTTTTTTTTTTTTTTCTCTGGTTTCCCCCGACATCTCGTTGAGTTTGTTTCTTCAATACCTTTTCACATCTTCTGCTATTACATACCTAAATGCCCAACCCTAGCTTTCTCCCCACCCCCTCCCTTCACCTCCAGACTTTAAAGCATCCGTTTCCAGACCATTCATTTAGAGGACATCCTTCCATTATATATGTGCATTTAACTTTTTCACTGCCAGATCTTTTTTTTTTTTTTTTTTTGCACACGTGAACAAAAATTAATTTTAGACCCGAAGTTTAGTTAAAACCCCTAAACCGTATATATTTTCTGAAATCGGAGACCCTGAAGAATAAATTAGTGGTATTATTATTATACCCAGCACGCACACTCCGCTCCTCACAAGACCTCCTTCTCTCTAGTTCCATGGTCTCCTCCTCCCATGCCCGCCTCCAGGACTTCTCCAGGGTGTCACCCATCCTCTGGAACTCCCTGCCTCAACCCATCAGATTATCACCTACTCTCCTCTCCTTTAGGCGCACCCTGAAAACCCATCTCTTCAGGGAAGCCTACCCCACCCCCTGCTAACTTGCCGACCTCCTCCACTCTTCCTACCACTCCATCCCCCACAGCTATCTCCTCCTGTGCCACCATCCCCTCCCTCCTAGATTGTAAGCTCCAAGGAGCAGGGCCCTCGATCCCCTCATGTTTTGCATTGTATTGGTATTGTTTTGTCACATGTTCATTGTATTGGTATTGTTCTGTCACATGTTCTGTCCCCCTTTTGTAATGTACAGCGCTGAGCGAACCATTGGCGCTTTATAAATACTGTATAATAATAATAATACAGGATTTATATGGCGCCAACAGTTTGCTCAGCGCTTTACAATATAAATGGAGACAATACAGCAACAATACAGTTCAATACAAGAGGGTTAGGAGGGCCTGATCCTTGGAGCTTACAATCTAGGAGGGAGGAAAGTTCAGATTTTTTTTTTTTTTTTTTTTTTTTTGCTCAGTGGTTTATCTAGTACAAATTTTCACATAAAGGTAATTTTAGAGCACAATTTTTTTGGTAAAATATAATGGATGAGATTGTGACGAGTAAATAGATACCATATGGGGGAGATTTATTTATTTTTTAGTTTATTTATTTCAGGTACTTATATAGCGCCATCAATTTTTACATATATATTATACATTCACATCAGTCCCTAACCCTCAAGGGGTGTACAATCTAAGGTCCCTAACCCTCAAGGGGTGTACAATCTAAGGTCCCTAACCCTCAAGGGGTGTACAATCTAAGGTCCCTAACCCTCAAGGGGCGTACAATCTAAGGTCCCTAACCCTCAAGGGGTGTACAATCTAAGGTCCCTAACCCTCAAGGGGCGTACAATCTAAGGTCCCTAACCCTCAAGGGGCGTACAATCTAAGGTCCCTAACCCTCAAGGGGCGTACAATCTAAGGTCCCTAACCCTCAAGGGGCGTACAATCTAAGGTCCCTAACCCTCAAGGGGCGTACAATCTAAGGTCCCTAACCCTCAAGGGGCATACAATCTAAGGTCCCTAACCCTCAAGGGGCGTACAGTCTAAGGTCCCTAACCCTCAAGGGGCGTACAGTCTAAGGTCCCTAACCCTCAAGGGGCGTACAATCTAAGGTCCCTAACTCACATGCATACATACACATACTAGGGACAATTTAGATAGGATCCATGTCTTTGGAGTGTGGGAGGAAACCGGAGTACCTTGAGGAAACCCACGCAGGGACAGGGAGAACATGCAAACTCCAGGCAGGTGGTGCCGTGGCTGGGATTCGAACCAACGATCCGAGTACTGCCAGGCGGAAGTGCTAACCATTTAGCCACTGTGCTGTCAGGAGATATACTAAAATGGGAGCTGTGCATGGTAACCAGTCAGCTTCTGACTTCAGCTTGTTCAGTTGAGCTTTGATGATAAAACCTGGAAGCTGATTGGTTTCTAAGCAGAGCTTCACCAGATTTTGCACGCTCCAGTTTTAGTAAATAGGCTCCATTATGTCACGCCTTGACATGCACCCATGAAATGGCAACAAACTTTGGTATCCTATATTTTTCATAGGCGATGTCAGAAGCAGAAGTGACGTAATGCACATCACTTCCTGGTTCTTACTAGGTAGAGGAGATCAACAAACAGGCGTTCACAGGTCTCCCTTCCCCCTTCTACCCCGTGCACCCTCCATGGGGACTCTCTCCCTGGTCCACACTGTACTTATTCCCAAACTCACATCAGCCTGTGTAACATTCCCAGTGAAGGACAGGGCAAGACGTGCAGGGAGGGAAGGGGTTGCACTAGGACAGGGGTGGGCAAACTGCTGCTCTCCAGCTGTTGCAGGACTACAAGTTCCATCATGCCTCTGCAAGTCATAGCTGTAACTGGTCTTTGCAGTGCCTCATGGGAAATGTAGTTCCACAACAGCTGGAGAGCCTCAGATTGCCTACCCCTGTACTAGAGAAATTATTCTTTGTGAAGTAGCCAAATTTGTGATGGGGTTCTGAGGTACATTGCAAGCATCACTAAAAGGAAAAAATAACATTGCTTGTAAGAAGAAATGACTAGATTTCTATGTGTTTTACCTGCAATTTTTAGGCTGGTGACAGGAACTCTTTAAAACATTTCAAGTATCCATACCTTGTTTTGGATCCAATAGAAAAGGGTTACCACCCTTGTCAGGTATTTATTGCTGTGAAGATTTGTGGTAAATGATTGGAAATCCAAACTTTTTGAGTTGCCACAGGGAAAAGATTCTAATGGGGAAACCTATTAGAGCCTTCACTATGGAGGGATCTCCATTTTAGTTCCTGATGTCTCTTCGAAGTAAAGTAAAGAGAAATCTCAATTAAAAAGTCCACATCGGCCGTCAGAAAAAAAATGTTTGCATGCAGGGAAATATGGAGAATATGCCGGAGAAGGAACGTCTGTTGTTGCCAGTCCAAAGCATCCCCCCTTGTTTTCATAAATGATTCCTAGTAGGGTGTATGTATTTGTGGCTATTGCTTTATTAGTTCTTTATAGTGATTGTGTTTTTTTATAATGTTTGTGCTTTTTAACATCTGTGCTCTTGTTGTATCTCTTCTGAATGACAGGAGCACAGGGTTCCTTTGCGTCTGCTGCTGCTGAAGTGTTTTGGGGCCATGTGCAGTCTGGATGCTTCCATCATTTCCTCATTGGTTAACTCTGTCCTTCCCATGGAGCTGGCCCGTGACATGCAGACACATACCCAAGGTAAAGGCTTTGCATCACCTATAGCTGGAAACAGGGGCGGACTGACAACTCATGGGGCCCCCGGGCAATAGGAGATCATGGGGCCCCTGTGTCCATGCCCAAACTCAAAAAAAGCTTATGAAAAAGGTACCAGGGGCATCTCATGGGGCCCCCTACTGACCTCGGGCCCTCGGGCAGTGCCCGAGTTTCCAAATGGTCAGTCCGCCCCTGGCTGGACAACATCACTTGATGGCTAAAGGGAATGCACACTGGCTTTGTGTATTCTTTGTTTCTCTACTTATTATGTTCAGAACTATTCAAAAATAATATATATTTTTCTGTAAATAGGAAATATTGCATATGATTATTAAGTATTCTTAGCCGGTTCTGCACCGCCCTATAGCAGAAATACTGCTACAGGGCGGCACGGCTGCACAAAATCACCTGTATAAATACACACGTGATTTTGGCATTTCCGGGTAGGGGGCGCATGTGAGCCCTACCTGCGCCGCCAATCGCGGCCTCGGCTGTCAATCACCAGGTCCCGGTGGTTACTCGTCGGCACCCGGTGATCGCTGTGTATCTCAGATGGGGGAGAGACCTGTGTATACATAACACAGATCTCTCCCCTGTCAGCTCTTGCACGCTGCTTTGTATGGCTCTGCATAGTTGCTGCCACGTAATTGGCTGATTAGCAATTTGTGGTACCAAGCTATTGAACAGGTGAACCTAATAATGTGGCCGGTAAGTGTATGCGGCTCCTTGGCATTAAAGCCCACCTACTGAGACCCCCCGGCAGGAATTGGTTAAATATTGTATACTCCTTTGATTAAATTGTTATATAGGTAAATAAACAGGTGTGTGTATGTGTGCTTTAAATGACAACCAGCTGAAATTGCCATGCTACAAACATTCCATTGATCCTGCAGCTTTATGTGCCAACTTTGATTGAAGCACAAAAAAATATATATATATATATATAAATATTTTTTCCAGTTTATAGAGGTCTTTAACTACCTTCCGCCCACCCTATAGTACAATGACTGGCGCAAGGTGGTTCTCTCATTCTGATAGGATGTCATATGATGTCCTACCATTCTCACTGCGCGTGCGCGGCTCAGGGAGCGTGCAGCACGGCGATTGCCGTGCGACACAGCGGATCACAAAAAGAGCCGAAGATGTCGGCTCGGTCATGTGATCAGCTGTGTCCAATCAGAGCTGATCACATGTAAACACGGAAATGCCGGTTATCTGCATTTCTCTTCTCTCGAGCTTTCACGCTGACAGAGGAGAAGAGAGCCGGTAATCTGCTTTCCGTGGAGGGGACATGTACACTGATCATCAGGGCACTGATGATCAGTGTGCCCTGATGATCAGTGTGGCCCCAGAAGTGCCACCTGTCAGTGCTCATCAGTGCCAGTGCCCATCAGTGCCACGTGCCAGTGCCCATCAGTGCCACATCAATGCCACATATCAGTGCCCATCTGAGCTGCCTTTCAATGTCACACATCAGTGCCAGTCAGTGCCGCTAATCAGTGCCACCTATCAGTGCCAGTCAGTGCCGCCTAACAGTGCCAGCCAGTGCTGCCTATCAGTGTCATATATCAGTGCTGCCTTTCAGTGCCTATCAGTGATGCCTGTCAATGCCCATCAGTGCAACCTACCAGTGCCTCCTCATCAGTGCCATGTGCCAGTGCCCATCAGTGCCACATCAATGCCACATATCAGTGCCCATCTGAGCTGCCTTTCAATGTCACACATCAGTGCCAGTCAGTGCCGCTAATCAGTGCCACCTATCAGTGCCAGTCAGTGCCGCCTAACAGTGCCAGTCAGTGCTGCCTATCAGTGCCATATATCAGTGTCATATATCGGTGCTGCCTTTCAGTGCCTATCAGTGATGCCTGTCAATGCCCATCAGTGCAACCTACCAGTGCCTCCTCATCAGTGCCCATCAATGCCCATCAGTGCAACCTACCAGTGCCTCCTCATCAGTGCCACCTATCAGTGCCCATCACTGCAGCCTCATTAGTGCACATCAGTGAAGGAGAAAAATCACTTATTTACAAAATTGTATAACAAAAACTAAGAAAAAAAATTTTTTTTTTTCAAAATTTTCGGTGGTTTTTGGTTTGTTTAAGAAAAAATAAAAATCCCGGAGGTTATTAAATAGCACCAAAAGAAAGCTCTATCTGTCTCAAAAAAATGATAACAATTTCATATGGGTACAATGTTGCATGACCGCGCAATTGTCATTCAAAGTGCAACAGCACTGAAAGCTGGAAAAGGCCTGGGCAGGAAGGGGGTATAAGTGGCCTGTAGGCAGGAAGGGGGTATAAGTGGCCTGTAGGCAGGAAGGGGGTATAAGTGGCCTGTAGGCAGGAAGGGGGTATAAGTGGCCTGTAGGCAGGAAGGGGGTATAAGTGGCCTGTAGGCAGGAAGGGGGTATAAGTGGCCTGTAGGCAGGAAGGGGGTATAAGTGGCCTGTAGGCAGGAAGGGGGTATAAGTGGCCTGTAGGCAGGAAGGGGGTATAAGTGGCCTGTAGGCAGGAAGGGGGTATAAGTGGCCTGTAGGCGAGGGGTTAATAGAGGCCTTTGTATCCTTCCTTTCTAAATGCAAAAAAACAAAAATACCAAAGCCTTGCGGTATGAAAATGAATTTCCTTAATGAATCGGGACGCGGTAGTGAACTTGACGGCATGCAATTTTTTTTTATTTTTTTTTTTTTTTTTAGTGGAGTGAGACTGTCAGTCTGGGATTTTTTTTGAAAATATCATAACAGAAATCCAGCTGTGGGAAAGATTTACGGCGATTGAAGTTGTTTTAAACGCGCTCCCCTTCTTTGTTCAATTGTGCGGACATTTTGAATGGGGTTGGTTGCCATGGCAATTATAGAGTAGCAAAAGTGGTCATAAGACCAGGTAATGATCTGCTTTTTTTTTTTTTTTTTTTTTGTGCGTGATTGTTTTTCTGCTACCTTTCAGGGAGAATGTTACTGATTGATGGATCGGGGCACGGCACCACTGCTGTTAAAAAAAAAAAAAAAAAAAAAAAAATCTTTTTTTTTTTTTTCTTAAAATTCAGCAAGGCTATTGTAAAAAAAACTGGATTGTGTGATTGTAGAAAGCAATATAATATCTGGTATACATAGAGAGATGTGTGTGATTGATGGAATAATGTACATTGGGGGGTAAAGACAACATACCCTCCAGTCTTGGGGTCAGTTCACACCAGGGGCGGACTGACAACTCATGGGGCCCCCGGGCAATAGGGGATCATGGGGCCCCTGTGTTCTTGCCCAAACTCAAAAAAAGCCTATGAAAAAGGTACCAGGGTCATCTCATGGGGCCCCTTACTGACCCTGGGCAGTGCCGAGTTTCCAAATGGTCAGTCCGCCCCTGGTTCACACTCCATGCGTTTCAGTTGCTTTTTTTCTGCATCCAAACGCACAGAAAGTAGGTGATATGGTTGTCAATATCATAGTTCACATCAGTGCTTGCAGTTCCAGTGCGTTCCGGTTGCAGAAAAAAAAGTAGAACAGGCTGCATTTTTTCTACACAGAACTGTACTGGAATGAGGTAAAACACATCAAAAACACACTAGAATGCACTTGTCCCTATTTAAATTGAAGAAAAGAGAAAAAACGCACTGGAATGCATTAAAAATGCACTAAAATGCACCGAAACGCGTCAAAAATGCGCAACTGGGCTGCATTACTATAGTGTGAACCGGCCCTTAAAGAAGAACTCCACTTAAAAAAAAAAACAGTAATGAATGCAAAAAATTGGCTTTTGCTGCAGTAATCGCGTTCAATCCAGCCCTGTCCTTCCACAGAATGTTCTCTGCTCTACTAGATGCTGCTCCTCTTCCAGGTTGAATGACGCCCAGCGTTGGTCAACCTGCTTCTTCGCAGACCAGACTTTCATGGACACACTGAACTCAAGTAGCACCCAGGCGACTTTATGTAAAGACCACCCACTACCGGCAGAGTAGAAATGGAGGAACCTGTGACATCACCGGAGCCATCTTTTTTGTCGAAGCATGACTCAGGATCAGCCCCTATTGACTGGACTGAGATGCTAGTTCAAAGATGGCACAATCATGTAAATCCTGGTACTTGTGAAGTTCTTGGCTGTGTTCACAAATGTCTGGCACAGATCAGCCCCCTGCTGCAGCCTCTCACCTTGTGAATTGCGAAAGTGAAAGTTATATTGGTGCAGTCTGGTCGCTGGGGAAGAGGAGATTGAGTAAATGCTTCCTCCTAGCTGCAGCAGACTGATGACATCATCTCAGCCTAGGCAGTGTCACCCTACTGAAGCTCAAGATTTTGCAGTTCTGGGTAGGAAACGTGGGCACCGCCATCTGCGGCTTTGGCTGTCAATCACTGGGTCCCGGCCGGTGATTACTCGCCGGCGCCCAGTGATTTCCGGGCATCTCCGACGGGGGGGGGGGAAGAACTGTTTGTAAAGAATACAGTTCTCTCCCCTGTCAGCTCCTGCTCACTGCTTTGCATGGCTTTGCATAGCAGAGCCATACAATGCAGTCTGCTTACAGTGAAGCGCACACAGCCCACTATGTAAAACAGCACACAGTTAACTCTTTGATTGCCCCAGATTTTAACCCCTTCCTGCCCAGCGCCATTAGTACAGTGTCCGTGCATTATTAGCACTGATCACTGTATTGGTGTCAATGGGGATGTCAGTGACACCAAGTCAGTTCCCCCCCAGTGTCAAAATGCCCGCCGCAGTCCTGCTATAAGTCGCTGATCTCCACCATTACTAGTAAAATTTAAAAATAAAAAAATATCCCAGTATCTATACCGCCATTTGTAGACTATAACTTTCACGTAAACCAATTAATTTACACGTATTGGGATTTTTTTTTTTTTTTTAGCAAAGACATGTCGCAGGATACATTTTGGCCTAAATTTATGACAAAATTAGATTTTTTTAATTTTTTTTACTGGACATGTTTTAATAGCAAAAAGTCAAAAATATTGTTTTTTTTTCCTTCTCAAAATTGTCAGTCTTTTTTTTTTTTTTATTGTTTATAGCGCAAAAAATTAAAACCCGCACAGGCGATCAAATACCACCGAAAGAAAGCTCTATTTGTGGGGGAAAAACAGGGCGTAAATTTCATTTGGGTGCAGCGTTGCATGACTGCGCAATTGTTAGTTAACCCCTTTACGCCGGCCGCACACAAATGTGCGGCCTCCCGGTGTCTGGGCCTAGATGCCGAGCGGCCACACATTTGCGTTCAATATACAAAATACATATGTGCTGACAGCGCGCGCTCCCAGCACACGTACGGTACTCACGGAAAGGTCCCGGTCTTCTCTTGCGATCGGGACTTTCCCCGATCATGTGACCGCAGGGACGTGTCACGGCGGTCACATGATCCCTAAACCCCGCCCGTCCGGCCTCCCGGCTTCTGGAACTCTTAACCTCCTTGGCGGTCTGATTATTTCCAATTTTTTTTGCTGAAAGCGGTACATTTTTTTGCATGGAAATATGTAGTTTTTTTATTGTAGGCTGTAATTTTTAGGAATAACTCACTGAAATCTGTCCGAACAAGAGTCTAGTAAACATCCCGGGTATGATAAAACTTGAAACACGAAATCATAAATTATAATTTAATAAATAATCATAAAAAAAAATAATATAATAATACATTTAATTCAATAATATAATCAAACCAAAAACACTGAAATTTGAAATACAGAGGCAAATTCGCACATCGCTGAGCAAAGTCGCAGAATTGTTTTCAGTGTCTGATGAGGAATTTCCCCCACAAATCATCATCACTCAATTCTGCAAGTGGTTCTGATTTACTATCGCTGTTCTCTAGCCGGTCTAAAACCGCTTTTGACCTAAAGGGACGCTTTTTGGACGCCATGGACGTTTCTCAGTTTCCAGGCAGAGAGAACAGTCAAAATGCAGGCAGGGCGCCGGACAAAGCACTCGGGACAAAATATATGTGAAATGCATTGAAACAGCAATGTTTTACTATATAATAATCATTTTTTTAAAAAATGAATTTTTTTTTTAAAATTTCCAATTTGGCGCTCGTACCTCCCGACGTCACAGGGACCGGAACACGGAAGCCGGATGCCGGCATCGGCCGGAGGAGATGGCTGGGGACGCTGCAGGGGACACATCGCGGGAGCGAAGGACAAGGTAAGTGCTGCAGGGGCTCCCTGAGCAACGCCGCATGGTAAGCCCGAGTGTAGCTCGGGGTTACCGCTCTTGGTACTAAAATTTTACCCCGAGCTACACTCGGGAATACCGCCAAGGAGGTTAAAGGGCCGGGAGGCGCTGGCGGGAAAGGGTTAAAGTAACGCAAAAAATGGCCTGGCCAGGAAGGGGGGGATATCCTCTGGAGGGCGAGTGGTAAAGGTGGAGCATTTGAAAAAAAATATATGTATTTTTGATTTATAAGTGACATTCCAGGAATTTGTTCACACAGACTGCGAAGGTCTTCTTTAGACTTCAGGATATGGCCGTTGCATTCACAATGATTTTCTGCACAGATGCGGAGGAAAAATAAAGCGGGAATTTCTCCAGAGGCCGTGCAGTGTTAGGTGGACAGCTTGCCTGGCTTCTAGGTGGTTTTATTTCTCGCTCTCATTTTATTTTATGTTTGGGCTTTGTCACATTTATGCGCTCTTTGATCTAGCACAGCCTG